TATATATATATATATATATAACCCACCTGCCGATTAGTTTTGTCATCCACTTTATTTCCCACCAGAATAATCAACGAATCATCTGTGTGACCAAACTTTTCTTTCAGTGCTAGCTCGATCCACTCGGGGACATTGTCCAATGAGCAGCAATTTGTCACATCAAAACAAACCAGGACAACGTGACAGTCACGGAGATAAGAAGGTATGAGACAACGGAAACGCTCTTGACCAGCGGTATCCCAGATTTGTAGACGGACAGCAATTCCATCTGAAATTTCGAGAAGTCACTTTTATTTTTTCATGGTACAAAGTCATCAAAGTGTTATTTAATTAGACCAAATTAGAGAGTGTTGGCCTCTCCCCCACCTCTCACCCCCTTATCGTTTTCCTCATTAAAAGCAATAAGATTGAAGAGTTTTGTTCTAATGGTGATGGGTAGAGGACTGAATAGTTCCTATATACTGGCACTGGAATAACGATTCAAGATACAGACTTCCCCTCTCCCTTTTTCTTAAAAAAGGTGTCGTAAACTCAGAAGAAGAATTTGTTTACGAATGAGGAGCTTGATAAAGAGGCAATACTTTTCTTCATTTTCGTGCCCCGTATGTTTGATTTAAAAGTGATTTTGTGAGGGAAGATTGGACGCGAGTCACTCTTAGTGGTGAAAGAGTTAAAGAACTTGTTGCATGATCAGCAATTCACGCCGCCATTTAGATTTATCACAATAGAATCGTTGCTAATTAGTGTATATTGTAGTGTGACCGTAATTATATGCAAAATGCCCGCAGGTATAAAACACGTGAATTTTGACTCTACATTTTTATTACTTGGATTAGCGTGTGCGCGAATAAAGAATCTTGTGTTTTAAAGAATCGAGTAGTTGACAGAACTATCACAATGAAACGAGCCTCCTCCCTTACTAAAAAGGATATCAGTGCTCAATTTGGGCAGCACTGTGGGAGCACCTCGTATCTAACCATATAAACAAGTCTGCTTCTCCTGAAACGGTTATTACTTTCGGACCTAAAAAGTATTTAAATCAAAAATTAGTAATTGCATTGTTAAAATCTACCTACCTAGATAGCATATCTTTGTGAAAAAATCAATTCCAATCGTCGGCAGATATTTATCTTCATATCCTTTATAAACAAACTTCCACACTAAAGCTGACTTTCCCACACCTTGATCACCCAAAACAACAACTTTAAACTTGCTTATATTGTCAGATGGGGAATCTGAGTCTAAATTGCCTCTCGCTTGCATCTTCTCGCACTTCTCTCGAAGTAGTACACTTCTTTATGACGTCATATAATGTATAAAGCGCGCGCTTGAGAAACGCACCGGCTAAGACTGGCTCTAGTCATGCTCTCCTACTGTGACTCAGCGGTTTAACGACAGGCATACGCTGAACGATCAAGTTTTGGGCGGACGCACCCCGATTTCCCGAGCAAAATTTCAAAGAAAAAGATGGCAAACGAACGTCGTCCAACAGAATTTCCAAAAAACGGGGATCAAACGTAACCTTTCATCGAACATAAAGCCAAACTGCATGACACATGCTTGCGTATTCTTTGGCACATCCTGTTAGAAATCTCTGCTTCTAACAGCCTGAAATCACTGAAAAAGCACACCTCTTTGTGTAAACGCCTCTTAACAACGTCGCATATACGTAGACGTTTGACCGCTTTGTTGTGTACGGTATAGATCCATATAGAAAAGAAACTTTGTTAACGTGTCAAAGGACCTTCTAGTTTGGGAGATATCCCATACTAATGTGGGGACACAAATAAAATGGATAAAAATTATTTACAAAGAATATTACCTACTTAAGAATAAAATTAAGTCATATCATGTATGAGAAAAGATATGAAATAAATTAAGAAGTACATAGAGCACAACTCCTGCAGCCATCATCTAATAGGGAGCTGAGGTCACGCTTACGTATGCGGTTTTTGAAACTAGCTAATGATGTGGCTGATCTGTCGTGAGTTGTCAGTTTACTCCATAATTTAGGTCCTAAATAGCGTAGTGAATGTTTGCCGTAAGTTATTGTGTTGTATCTAGGAATAGAAAAGTCGGCCTTTTTTAAATTATAGGA